AGCTACAACCACTGTACGACGAGTATGCGGTTCTTACAGCTGACAATGATGATGATGATGATGACTCAGGGGAATTGTCATAAATGCCGTTGCTGGAAAGTGAGAATACAACCTAGTTACTATTTTGTAACGTACACTGACGCTCACCCCTTTCACTGCTTGCTGCGACCACGAAATATACCGCTGCGTCACTCATAAATACACCAGTTTTGTTGATTAACCAGACTGCCGTTTTAAAGGATTAAAGTTTTCGACAGGACAGATGAGACTACTGGCCAGGAAAGTAGGAAAGTAGGAACAGGAAAGTACACTGCGAATTTGCCGAGAAAGGGAACCCAAAATGACGGGAAATACATATTTAGTGATAAGGTTATCTATCAGTTGGACAATTGCGGTCGCTACTATGCTTCCTTATTCAGGCACTGATAAGTCATGGGTTTCGACCAAGGCAATCATCCTCGTGGCATGCTCCAGCGGACTGTTGTATCTTGCGGTAGCCGTCTATGGGTTACGCCTGCGCTGAGCCTGCCAGACTACGCAATAAGGAGAAGACAGAGAACTGGGGACACGGCTGTATTGCCAGGACAAAACATACAGAGCGTCTGCGTAAATATATAGGATGAATAATTGGCCAAATATGGTCGTTCACTTGTTCGTTCCGTACAACCAATAGTGGTGTTCCGGTCGTGAACAGTCGGGCCCACTACGCTGGTCGTGCGTTGCTAAGCCGTGTTTTGGTGGGAGCCGCCGACTCACTTACTTTCCGGACGTGTCGAACCGATGGTGACCTTGGGGATGCGTCACTCTCTGCATATGTGCTTAATCTTCTGTCTGGGCGCGCCCTCACACGGACAACGTACCACCACCATTGGAATTACACCATAGAGCCCAGAGCTATCGTGTGCGTTGCCTCAGACTGATTGCAGGTGACACGCCTCGATTATGACATTTCCATTCATTCGCATGTTTGTTGTGACCATATGAAAGTGCTGCAGTGCGGCTGAGGTAAAAATGTGGGGATTCACTGGACAATTATCCGTCATAATTAATCCAACAGCCTAGTTGGAGTGACTTTTAATCGTAATTCGCAGTCGGTGCACCCTGTAACACATCCAAGTGTGTGAGTAATAAACTGATAATGTTCCTATAAACGTCCTCCATGTATCGATGTTTTCAGCACACCAGTGGACAGGAAGAAACTCAAGTAGTTGACTGTTTCTAATTATGTCGAACAATTTGGAGCACAAGTACGAAACAAATAACCAGTCGAAGTCTTGATCGATACGGCCGTAATGGAAGGCGATTCAGCTTCATGCCATATTGAGCATACTACAAGGCTAATCGCTCCTACTCATGCTTGTTGATTTTACCAGGTGTCTTATATGCATTCCCAATATACTAACAGTGTGTTCGGTTTGAACTAGTCTTGTTGCCATATTAACCGTCAACCTAGGTACAAGCAAATACGAATACAATAAAACACCAAACGAAATTTCGGCCGTTTGATTGTTAGGCGTCCTTCACTCGATATCGGTTCATCATCACTCAGTGTGTTGTCGAAGCTCATTTTAGTCAGACAGTTCTGTCGTGAACAGTTTTTTCTGCTTTTCCTCTGTGATTCAGTGACTTGTTGAGCAGACCAGAAGAGAAAAAATTAGCATACTGTTATATTTTGGGCTTGTTCTGTGTACTGCGAGGTTTAGACTGCTCGACAGAAAGAAAGCTGTCGACCAGTAATCACGGAAGGTCTTTGTGCGAATTACTTCGACCCAGACAAGTAAGACATTCTGTTGAGCCTTTGTTAGTCCTACCAGATGCAAAAAGTGGGCCGGTAGCCAAAAACAAGGCACCCAAGTGTTAATTCGGGTTAATTTTGGGCTACCTGGATGCAGTGAGCGTCATTTGGCTAATTTCGATGGGATGTACTTTCGTGAACAAAAATTCAAGCCAGGTTAGGCGAACACGAACTCGGTTAC